GCGAATCATATATATATATGGGTGTGTGTTTTCAATGACTTGCGCATGGGCTCCACATGCATGTCGTCATATGGTTTTTCTTTTTTGTATTTGTTTGGCTCGTGTCGTCTACCTGCAAGGATGGCTTGCCACCAGGGCAGAACTACTTGAGAATCGATGCTCGGTGCAGAAAGCTTTGAGTTTGTGCGCTGTTCAAGCACCTCTGATGTTTGGATGAGATTCGGGTGCTTGGATATTGTCAGATGCAACGCATGCTCAAAACAAGCCACCACAGCATTCTGGCAGAACCGGCAGAATTGGTTCAAAATTCAAAATTCAGTGAGCTGGCAAATTGGGTTTGCATAGAACATCATAGAACTATGTTACATGGTGAACTGGAGAACTGGTTCAATTGGAGAATTGATCCAAAATTCGGTAGTTGATTTGGGTGGTGGTGCCACTGATCGGTGATTGTGGTGGTCACTGATCTCGCAGAACTTGTGGAGTTGGTCATTTAAGAGATCGACTGGTGTTGTAGAGGTCATCAAAAAGATGTGTAAGAGAATTCAATGAGTCGCCTCATTTTCCTTCCAATCATGTTCTATCAGGTGCTGAATCATGAAATCTGTTTGGTTGTGTGGATGGTCACTGAGCTCATGTTGTCACATGTATTCACATGTTGTCCTCCGTTTGTTCACATGAAAGCCTGTCCCAATCATTCAACGGAGTTCCACCATTCACCCAACATTGAGGCGTATTATTGAGCGCATAAGCCTTAAGCTTCAATTCATTAACGGCCTCCCATGTAAAAGCCCCAACCCACCGAAATGCCTGGCTTTGGGCTCGGGTGGCGCGCGCAGGATCCACATGGGAGGACCACGGCCATCTTGAAAGTGGTCTTTCAACCGAGTCGAAACCATTACAACGCGGCCAGCGCCACTGGAAGGTAACCTGAAGGGTTTTGTAGACTTCCGATGTATTTTGTGTTCTATTTAACGATTTAAGAAGGGCCACATCCACATGTGCTGTGTGGGAAGTGTGTGCCTCAGTGTGCTGTTGGGATTTGGCCAAGAAATTCTTTGGTGATTTACATAGGCATGACATGACATTGAGACATCTCCTTTATACAGATTCCTGGCACACTCACCCTAAGGGTGCTGTTGGGAGTGTGTGCAATCTTGAAAAGAGCCGCCACTCCATGTCAATTCGCTGTCACAGCAGCTCCGAGCATGTCCATGTGTAGAGCGTGTGACGTTTCGTGCGCGAGTTCCGTGCACGGTTTGTGCCGTGAAAACGCGAAAGTGAATGACCTGGATTCGCTGAATCTCGAAAGCTGATCGAGGCAATAGAAATCCCCTTTGTTCAACAGCATCTTAATATTTTAAGTGCAGTTTCACACTGGGATCAGCTCAACTGGTCTTCAATCCCAGATCCAAACCGAGTAGGTCACCTGTTCCAGTTCGACTCAAACACCGGAGACCCGAAGGAAAACGGGCTCCTATTTGGGGGCAGCATCGGTGATGTTTGTTCTTATCCGAGGATGATCCGAAATAGATGGTGAAATGAGATCAATGTCTAAAAGGGATGAGGGATTGAGAAAAGACTCAGAAAGGTCCCATGATGTTTGCTCTCCAGTGACTCATCGCAAAAAAGAGAGCCGACTCGCCCATCCAACTGGCTCAGCGAATCCAAGGGCCGAGGTTCCGTTCGATCGAGTTGGACCTGGCAAGGGACCCAAAAAAGGCAGAAGGCCCGCCGATCGAGCGAGATGAGATAAGACAGAGTGGATCCGTCAGAGCGGATCCGGGTCGCTGAGTGGATCCGTCTTGGAGCGCCCCGATGCAGCGATGCGGACGAAGGCCGATATAGTTCGACGAATTCTCCCAGTTGGATCCCCCGGGTTTTCCGGGTTTATTCGATGGGTCTCTTAACCGGTGTCGCCTGGCTCCATCAGAGTGGTTCTATACGTCCAAACAACAGCAAGTCTGATGGAGGTCCCTCGAAGAGTTGCTTGACTGTGACGGAGGCTCAACGTGACAGAGGCTGTTGACATCCCGGAGGATGCAACAAAGACATGTTTCTTTGACCAGAGAGGTCAAGGACGAAAGAATTGGGGGAACTCACCGGGGTGTCTCACTGAAGTTATGTTTTTTGATATTGATATGGTGGTGACGATGGATCCTTGGAGTATTTGTCAGTTTTTCTACACATTGAGACATTGGGTGTGTTGTTGACATGCTTTTCAGTGCCGCTTTTAGCATTTGGCTTGAAAGCATTGTCTAAAATATTAAGATCTGATTGGAACCAATCAATCAGACACAGTGAGAACGAAACCAATGGAGTTTGCAAAAGGAGATGAAGCGCTGAACACTTGATTTGTGAAGCCAGAAGAAGATTCCTCAAACAAAACCAGACAGAACGTTCGGTTGCGGCTGTTGCGAACTTCTGACGCCTAAAGGCTTGGGAGCTCAGTTGCGCTGCCAATGAGTTGGCGTGGGGTTGATATGTTGATATGCATGTGGGCGAAAACAAAATGCAACCAGTTATATAGTGGATCCACTGATTTGTTGATTCGGGAGGAGTGGAGAGGACTGGGATCTTAACCTTGGAGCACTGGCACATTCAAAACCATATTTTTGGGCGTGAACCATGTAGTGACGAAGAGTTCGTGAAACTGAGTCCGGCAAAGAAGAGCAGACGGCGAAAACTGGCCCAAGATGTCGCGTTCAGCATCGTCGATGCCTCAGTCTCACTGCTGTGACTTGCTGTCGTTCTGGACGTCTCTGGGACGCTTATTCCGAAAGCGTCCATGTTTCCCTAGGTTGGACTCCGAAGGCGATCGAGCACGGGGTGTCCAGGCGCGTCAACGGGTTGATAAACATGAATCAAAAGCGGATTGTCACCCTTTTCGTACATGTCGCCCCCGGCAGTCTCACAGTCCCATCGCGTCTAGTGTTCAATGCGTATTAACCGTTCACCATGATGCCTGATGACGCGTCAATATCGTCTTCATTCTATAGGCATTCATTCTTGGCTTCCACTTCTAGGCGCAGACTGCCCGGCAGGCACCAGGGCCAGTTCGTGATCATCCACCTGACGAGCCGCCACCTATAAGAAAGGTGCCAGGGT